TAATCATGTGATATGGGTGTGATAATCACCGTTATACATCACTTGGGTTATCGTTTTAGTTGATAAGTTAAATTTTTGGTGTGATAATCATGTGATAGGGGTGTGATAATCACCATTATACAWCACTTGAGTTATCGTTTTGGTTGATAAGTTAAATTTTTGGTGTAATCATGTGATATGCGTGTGATATGGAGAAGAAGAAAACTAACAAGAGTAAAACGTGGAAACGTGATAGGATAATTATAGTTAATTCAAATAAAATAAAAATTATAAAAATTACTTAATTACATTGTTGTCCTTATTAAATTATTTATATATAATAAAAGTTAATTTATTAATTAAAAAAGTTTGAGGTTATTAGGTCGTTCTCGCGTTCTCGTAAATCACAGGGGTTCTCGTTTGAACCTCCACCTATATATACATACTATAACTTATATATTGTCTACACCTTACTTCATTTCCAACACTAATATATTAATCAATTTCCATAAATGTTTCATCCTTACATCAGACAGGTACATGATATGAGAGGTGATGAAAATTATGAATCCCGAGCAATAACCGTCCATCTTGGTCTTCATGAAGATGCATGTCAACAATTCGGTTTAACTTGATGAAAAAGTTAGACGCATACAAGACAAAATACCTCAACATATTTGGAAGTCAATATTGGAATATAGTTTTCGATATTTTAAACTTCTTTCAATCAGATCGAGGTGCCCTGGTTGAACATTGGATGACAATGCCTGAAATTGGTGTTTTGATTGCTTCAAAGTATAATGTGATCTTACACATTATAGACATTACAAGTTGTTCAACATACTTACCTCTTAGGTCTATTTCGTCACTGTGGTATTAACATGTAAGTTTTGTAATTTGGTACGTTAATCGTAACCATTATGTGAAACTAGACTTGGCAGAATCATACCCGATCCCTACTATTACTCCACATTTTTTTCACTTCTGCTATCTGTGTCCTGCTGCATGGTCTACCCCGTATTTAGATCGAATAAATAAGTACCAACAACTTTTACGTGTTAACTGTTCTACAGATAATGTTATTTTAGAATAAGTAGAAATATAATATAAATTATGTTATGTCTTATTTATATATCAATTCTTTTTTTTTTTTAT